CCTCCTTTTGTTCTCTCCTTTTCCTCTTTCTTTCTTTTCCTTCTTTCCTTCTCTTTCTTTCCCTCTTTCCTTCTCTCTTTTTATCCCCTTTCCTTCTCTTTCCTTCCTTCCTTCCTTCCTTCCTTCCTTCCTTCCTTCCTTCCTTCCTTCCTTCTACTCTCTCTCTCTCTCCTTCCCTCTTTCCTCCTTCTACGGCCCAACTCTAGTGAGAAGGGGTTTAAACTTTAAACCCCTTCTCTCTTCACTTCCACCCCTCCCAGGCCGGCTGGGGAAGGGAGGTGGAGGGTTTTGAAGATGCCTCCCCCCCCTTTTTGCTTCCCCTTCTGACATCACTTCCAATGATGTCAGGGGGTGTGGTATATGCTAATGAGCTATTATGCTAATAGCCTAGTAGTTTTCTATGAAATGACCCCTGGTGCTTATGGAATCAATTAGGAAAATTCAGTTCACCACTGATCATTTTCTGACATGCTTTTTATTGAAGAATGACTTTTCTTGTTGCATAATTTTAGTGAAATGCTTTTAAAAAGCAGATGAATGGTTCTAAAGCACTAAAAACACAAACAATCTCTTATGGGATGTGGTTTCATAACCAATATCAGCAGGATGTGAACACTAACCCTTTGCAATTGCCTGAAAATGGAGCCATATTCCAAACAAACTCCATGCAGAAATGTTAGTACATAAACATATAATCCTTTTCCTTCCACTTTACAGTAATGAACATTATTTGAATTCTGAATTCTTAAGTCCCAAGTATCACCAGTAAGTTAATGTAGGGTCTGTATTGTTTGGCTGGATATTGATGTGGCTGATTATTTCCATTCTGAGTTTATGCCAGGAAAGGGATTTCATTCTCAGAAATTTTTCCATGTCCTGAAAAGCTGTGATCCTAATGATGCTATAGGGTTCCCTTCACATTAGACAGCTTGAAATACAACAGTGCCCACCGGGATCAGATTACTGGTAGGAGAATATGTGGTTGACCAAAACATTCTTCATGATCACAAATTCAAATACATGGAGAAAAGGAAGCAGAGAAATGCATGTGATCACCTTTTAGAATAACATGTTTTAAATAACTGTTTTGAAAAGGCTGTCCCTGGCATTTCATTAACCAAAGCTGTTCACCATTAAAGTACAAAAAGACAGCCAGCTCAAGCTTGATATAACAGTCTCAGCTATATGGAATCGACAACCTAAATAGAAGAAAATACTTTTAAATGCTTCTGAAATTAGACCACCTTGCCCAGAGGTAATGAAAGAGTTTTTCATTACAGGTAGTACTTCCACCATCATTGTATTACTAACCTATATTTCCAGGTCACCTTGCACCTACCGCCTGAGCTACTGTAATGGGGATAGAAGGAAGAGAGGCAACACTTCACTGACAAGTACCTCAGAGGTGGTTCCTGGAAACTCGGGGAAACATTTCAAAGAGAGCCTGGAAGTATTTCATAGACAGTCAACATATACAGTATTTCATAGACAGTCCTACAGAAAGAATTTCAGGATAAACATGATCTGTATGGACACATGAAGCTGTCTTATTCTGAATCAGTATTGTCTACTCAGATTGGCAGCAACTGTCCAGGGTTTTATGTTAGAGGTCTTTCTCATCACCTTCTAAACGACCCTCTTGAATTGGGAATACTAAGAATTAAACCTGGGACCTTCTGCATGCCAAATAGATGCTCTGCCAATGAGCCACAGCCACAGCCACCCCTGCGCCCATTAATGTAGATTTCAATCACAACATCTTAATTACCTAAAACCAGAAGTATCAGCAAATGTGTATATACACATGTACTAGGCTTGCCAAGTCCCCGCCCCAGAGGCCCGTTCCCCGCCGCCGGCGGATCGGGCCCTGGGGGGAACCCCACCCCAATGTGCGCGTCACTAGGAAGTGACGTTAGGACACCGGGCACACTGGGGGCCGGGCCACGACCATCAGAGGGAAAACTCTACGGTTTCATCCAGCCCGTGAGCAACTGATGCAAGGGAGGGAACAGGAGGCTACTGGGAGCAGTGAGTGGGCAGAGCCATGCCATTTGTGGCTTCAGAATGGCAGAACAACCTTGTCTGCAGCAGTTAAGCAGAACCCCTTTGCTTCAGTGGCAGACTAACTGCTAAGTTGGGAACCACTACAGCTGCATTCAAACTGGCTTGGGGTTCCAAGGCGAGGTCACATGCCTCTCTGCACAGCGTGCAGCTCTGGGGACACTGTCCTGGATGGCCATGGGGATCAGTGTTTGCATGTGGGAGGGGTGTTCAGACAATTCTCTACTGAGGTCTGCTGGCGGCCAGTGCCGCTGCCATATTTGTCTTCCCAGTCCCCTTCTGTGATGGTTTGGGGGCATGGGGGAGCTCATAATACCCTGTGGCTTTGTGTTTTTATGCTGGGGCCTGGACTCACAGCATTGGCAGTGGGAGCAGGCTGGGGAAGGGGTTTGCCTTCTTCCAGGCAGCGCAGGTGCATCTGCCCGGCACTGCACTGCTGGCTCTTCAGTCTGCTTTTCCTCTGCATCCTCCCCCCAGCCCATGGGGCCTTACAGTGAGGACAGACCAACTCAGAGCTTACCAGCTGCTGTCCTTCATAAAATTTATTTATTTATTTATTGATTGATTGATTTGATTTGTACCCCCACCCTCCCCGCCAGAGCAGGCTCAGGGCGGCTTACACAAAAATGCAACAGATATCTCCAGTACCTGGCATTACATTTTATGGCACATTTTATGGCACACATGACCTGGCCTTACAAGGTCACATTTATGTCAGATCTGGTCCTTGTAACAAATGAGTTCGACATCTCTGCATTAAGGGATGAGCTTCAGCCATAAATCACAAATGATTGCTTTGTTTCTTTTGCTGGACATCAAAAGAATACATGAGATGCTATACATTCTTTTCCTTTTTTAATTTCTGTAATTTAAAAACTTTAGCCTAACTTTTTATTGAATGTTAATACATAAAAACAAACACTGTCATAGCAAATATTTCTTTTTTAATACACACATTAAATAAAGTTTTGTTTCCAATAGCTTCATTTTAAATACTACATTGGGTAACTATACTTTCCACAAGAAAACCTAAGAAGGACTAGCACTGCAAACAGATATGCACCTGTGCATGGAGCCTGTGTAAATGGAGCACATTTATGAAAATTACTTTTCCTGCCTCCCTCTCCACACCTTCCAAAAGCTGCTCCTGAAGGTCCCTGGGACAGTGGACTTGGGGGAGGGGGAAGAGCTGCAGTAAAAAGGGGAAAGAAGCAGAAATTACCTCCTCCTCTTGCACGACCCACAGTAGTGAACATTTCGGTCCCTTTCCAACCCAACACTGCACTGAACCTCATGCAGTCAAGATTTAACTAGTTCCATTACTCCTGACTCACCAGAGTACAGATGGTCTGTTGAATGCAGAGAACTTAATGTTTTACAGGATGTGAATCATCTCAAGAAGATTTAATGCTGGACGATTTAACTATTGACTCAGTTTCTTATCCAGGTGATGCAAATCATGCCTGTGGCTTGTTTGGTCCAATTCATCAACCAACACAAAGCCGGAATTCTTTGCCTTGAGGTTTTTATACACCCAGAGTGTCTCTGCCAACTGCCCAGTAATGAGAGAAATCAGTATACCCAGTGGGATTTCTGTACAGACCTACAAAAAGAAAGAAAAATAGTTACTATTGCATAGCAGTTATACACTACATACTCTTGTCCCAGTCTATCACTAGACCTTAATACCAACAGCAAGGCATTTATGTATCATTGATTGTGTCTTAATGCGTTAAGAGTTCTATTGGACTATGCATTCCACTGCAAGCAAGGCGGCAGCGACATCCAGCACCTGCATTCTTTCAGATGCTCATCCAGCTAACACTTGTGGCTCCTAATTCAGCAAACAATACTGATAAAAACCTGATTTTACTTGCTCATCTTTTTTGCTCGACTATACCTCAATAATAATGCAAGTGTCAGGCCCCCTTTTTCTTTTTCTTAAATGCTTGCTGACCCTTTGATTACAAATATGGTCTCTTCAAAGTAGCATATCATTTTTAAAAAAAGACAGAAACCATCATTAACAAGCATTGCAAAAACCCCAACACCCTATGAGAAATCTCATCACCAACCAGGTTTTTTTAAAAGAATGTTTTATTCATATTTTGATAATAAAAGGAGTACATGAATAGTTACATGATTATAACATATAGTTAGTGTTAGCTTTGTTTCCATTCATCTTCAGGAATATGTTGAACAAGAAAGAAGACCCGCGAAACTTGCGCGGGGGGGAGCTGCAAACTCAGCAGGCGTAGGAGGAACCAGCAGGAGCAGGTAAGCTCTCCACTCCCCCCATCCCACCGGTTCCTCCGTCTCCTCCACCCCCGCCCCTCCCCCCG